GAATTTAAAAATGCAAGCAGAATTAAAACAGAATTATGCTACAACTAACAGAATACAAAGTTTCAATAGACTTACGACGAGTGTAAATATCCACCAGGAATAAACTTCTAGTGAAGAATATAAAAGTACAAGCAGAATTTAAACAGAATTCTGGTTTCATAAGCAGAATGCAAACTTTCGATAAGTATACCAGAGGCTACACATCGATCCGGAAAAAATTTCTAGTAAAGAATTAAAAAAATCTCAGCAGAATGTAAAACAGAATTGTAATATCGGTAAAAAATGGATCAATTCACTAAGATAAAATTCCCAATAGCAAATAAACTACTAAGTACCATACTAACCTGTCAAGAAGTATTCTACAGAATTCTAACTACAATAGAAATAGATCAGAATGGAATATATAGTGTTTGATAACATAAAAATATATAAAATTCTGTAGAACTCTAAGCAAAATTTAAATGGATCAGAATGAGATATGTTGTCTTCTATGACACAATTCTACAGAATTCTAAGCAGAATGCTATTACCACGAAAGAATATAAACTTTGAATAGCCATACTATAATGTTATATGTCCAAGGGAAAAATAAAATTCTGATGAAGATTTTAAAAACATCGGTAGAATTTTAAAACAGAATATCAATTTTCAATAGTTATACTTGAATTCAATGGCATATCTGCAATAGAAAAAAGAAATCCTTCTGAAGAATTTTAAAATATTAGGAGAATTTGAAACAGAATGCTGTTACAACTATAAGCATATAAGCTTTCAATAGGTATACTAGAATGGTATATCTCAAGTAGAAGAGAAAAACTCTTATGAAGTATTTAAAAATATCAGAAGAATTTAAAGCAGAGCTGTGGTACCACTCAGACAATATAATCTTTCAATAAACATACTAGAATAGTATAGCTCGTAGAGAGAGGAAAAATTCTAATGAAGAATTTAAAAACACAATTCTGATACGAGTAACAGAATATAAACTTGCAATATGAATACTAGAATTCTACATCTCCTAATGAGGAAAGAACATTGTTTTTTCATAGGACAGAATTCTCAGCAGAATTCAAACAGACTGGAACGAAAGATGTCATCTCTGATAATAGAGAATTCTACGAAATTCTAAGTAGAATTCAAACAGACAAGAAATGAATATAACAATCAAATCGTTAAAAAAATATATAAGTCCACAAAATTTTGAATTCTGCTTGGTAGGCATTCTGTAATTGCTGGCAAACTTCATCTGTTTTTGTTTCATAAGAATATACCAGAAAATGCAGCTTTTTCCAGGCTTTCTTCCCATATACAGGAGATTAAAAAATAAATGAATTTTAGTGATAAAAACGCAAGAAAACAAAAGGGAGAAAAATCAATTGAGATGCACAGTATTTCTTCTAATTTTTTGTCCGAATTCTTAACTTTTTGCATAGAAATGTTAAAAAGATTGTTGAATCTATTCTTTATTCAAAATGTTCTACTATCTATGACAATATATTTCATTGATTATAAATTTAAGATTATTATCCTACAAACAACTATTTTCATGAATGTTAGAATTTCAAAAGATTAAAAATTAATTACAAGTGTCTCTATACTACTTGAGAATATCATTTTATTTTTGATCATTTAAGAGAAAATAAACTGTGAAACATACTTAAATATTCACGAAGATCATTCTTATTAATTGTATTAATAATAATAAGAACATAATCTTCTTTGATAATTATTAAAATTTGTAGAAAAGAATATTATTAAGTTTGTTCTAATTCAATGCAAATCAATATATCTTATCCATGCACAGATGATATTGAAAATGAGAATTTAATTAACAATGATTTCCTTGTGTAGTTTTTTCAGATTGATTCATCTTTCATCTATATAATCTATTAATTTTTAAGAAATTTTGATTTATATATAATGCTGTATTAATTTTTTTTTTGGGTGTTTTAATAATGCACAGCAAGCTTTAGTGAAAAAAACGAAATTTAAAAAGAATATCAATCGAAAGTATAAAAAAAAAAAAGAAATATGATATTTCGATGTCATAAATTTATGTCAATTAAATCAAATAAATCTATATAATAAAACAAACAGTGAAAGATTAACTAAAATAAAATTGAAAAATTTTTATATGTAAAAGTTGTGATAGAAAAATGTTTAATGATAATGTTTTTTTTTTTCTTTTTCTATAATATTAAATAATTAGCTCAAATCACCATAGCAACTTTACTAGTCAATAGAAATTTAAATAGCAAGATATTATATGGTAATATTTCTAAAAGAAAAACAACCGAACACAGTGATTTTCAGATTCCGGAGGCTAGTTTTTTTTAAACAATGTTATTCTAAAGAATACAAAATGAGATGTCACCGACTTCCAACAAATCTTCTGTGAAAGTATTTTGTAAAGATTTTCATGATACTTTTAACTTTTTAAGAAAACGTCGCGAACATCCGATGTTGAGTCTTATTCCTTCGCACACATTCAGTAGTGTCGTATTTTACCCTTGCGGACATGTAGAACTTTGTTTTCATCGATATATTTCTTACTAAACTTCATCAAGTGCTATGTTATTAGATCCTTCTTAAACTCACTTACATCTACCAATGCATTCTGAAAATAATCGCCTAACCAGATCGGATTATCGGAAATTCGCAAACTGGACTTTCGCCAATTGGCGAATGTCCACTGGACTTTCGCCAGTATACCTCCTGTACTTTCTCTAATTGGCGAATTTCCAATAAGCTTTCTCGAACTTTAGTAGAACGGTAGTATTGATTAAAGATATTGATATCAACTATATTCTTAACTGTGTGACTTGAGATACATTTTTATAATGCTAGATATCGTTCTTGTACATCACTTACGATATGAATGTTCCACTACCATTAATGAAAATCTATTCGAGTTTCGCCAATTGGCGAAAGTTCAGTAGACTATCGCCAATATATTCCTTGAAAATTCGCCAATTGGCGAAAGACCACTGAACTTTCGCCAATTATTGACGAAAGTCTTATGGGCGAAGTTCCGGAATCCCACCAGGATCCATGCACTATGTTTTCTTTTATCAATTGGTTTTATAAGTAGATTAATCGATTACATCAATGTATTTAAACTTTTATATCTAATGATTCAAAGTCAGTTTAAAATCTTCTATCTCGATGTATAGATTTAGGGATGTACCGAGACCGAGACTGAACCGAGACTCTCGGTCTCGGACAATCTCAGCCGAAAAGCTTAAAGAAATATAATTTCGCCCGAGACAAAGTAGCACACTTATCTATGATAAAGAAATGATCGAGATTAAGCATAATCGAGACCGGCACTACTCAATACCAAGGTTGAGGCTAGCCAAGACCGAGAGTCTCGGTCTCGTTCATTCTCGGCCGAGACTGAGACAGACCGAGATCGAGGCAGATCGAGACCGAGACCGACCTCTCGGTCTCGGTACATCCCTATATAGATTTTTGATATTTGTTTAACTACTTTTTAAAATGACAAAAAAAACACATGCTTATTTTAGATGCACTATTAATATCAATTCGAAGATTTTTATTTATTTTTCTCATTGTGATTATTCTACTTCTTAGTTAGTACCATTGATAAGTCTCGCCGTTGTTACTTTTCATGAGCTGTATTTAAAATATCAGCCAATTGATTTTATATGATTAAGTCCTAAAAATCAATTTCAATCATAAATAATCAAAAAAAAAGATTATATACTATCAGTACTCACCAATTATCTCAATCATAGGATGTTGTTCAAGCCAAGTATAATCATTATGATCGAATTCAGCCGCAAAACCTTTAACAAGAGTATATGTAGTTAAAACTTTAATGGTAGAATTGAGTTCATTATAGAATTTGGAAATGTCTGCATTCGATACTGAATCCTTGAACAGAACAATATATCCTAAAGGGATAAATAAAAATCATCGGATTCAGTTTAGATTAATATAAAATCTCATAAAATAAACTTACGATTATGTGTTTTATCCGTTTCTAATATTGTCGAAGACATAAATCGTATAAAAATTAATTGCTATAAAAAAAGAAAACTAAACTTGAATTAATTTTTAAAACAAATTTTAATAGACTAATAATTATCATTATATTCTCAAGGATTATAGACTCTAGAGTAATCTGTTGATATGTTAAAATTTCATATAAAAATCGAATTAATCTATCTTATAATGAATATGAAAAAGTTGTTTATATTTTTGTCATTCAATAAAGTAAAAAGTTCTTAATATCAAAAGTAATAAAAACGAAATTAAATGTATATATATATATATATTGTGTAGCAATAATTTTTATATATTTTAAAGGGAATAACCCAACGAAAACAAAAATTACAATAAATAGAAGTAATTTAAGTCACATGATTGATTCATTGATTATAGAGAGAAAGAACTAATGTACAGGTGAAAGAAAAAAATATTCTTTCTTTTGCATGTGTCATAGGAAAATAACCTGATCTTATTTTTAATATAAACAAACTATTTGAGTCATACATTGATTTTGTCGATGACAACAAATATACGATAAAAAGAGAGAAAATTCGATTTATATTATTAAATCAAAACTACAATTCGACTAGTTAATATTAGAATTGTTGAATCTCCTAATATGCAATAGGTTTTATTTTTTTTTTTGACTAACAACAATAATCGATCAATTTATTATATTCAATTATAGAAATAAATGAAATAATTATAATATATAGAATTTCTTATATTCTAACATCCACACCTTTATTGTTTCATTCATTTTCTTCTAGTCTTTTGTTCATTGTGTACAGTAATTGTTTTTTTTTTGATTTAAAAAAGAATTAATTGAAATATTTTGAAATGATTGAATATAAAACTGTAACAAATATCATGTTTGATTTTAAAACAAAAAAATCAGAATTTAAATTTATTTGAGTTTTCGATAAGATACACTTATCATTAGATAAATGTCAGTGTCTGTTAGCATTAAAATAAACATAGGTTTATAAATAACATAATTTGAGCTGCTTATACTTATATAAAGAAGATTATAAATTGAATTTAATTAGAACGTTCTGAAATATCATTAAAAATAATCAAAGAAAAAGTTGATGAAGAAACTCTCAATATTTATAAAATAAATAACATAAATATGATGAATTTCATTGACTTTTTTTTCTCTGTAATTTATGATGATTATACAAAGTGTTTTCAATCTTGAATATATGTTTGCTTTTTCAAAATTTCCTCGAAAATTCAAGAGATATGGATGATACATGGTATATGCATAATCATTTATATCTATGTTTGTCGCGTGTATTCGTGGCCCAGGTCGACAAGTACGGGCCGGTTCCGCCAGGAAAACAGCGAAAGTCGCCGGAACGGGGTAGCAGTATTCCGGACGAAGAATTTTCGGATTTTTTCCAGTGACTTCTGGTCAAATTCCTCACGTTACCTGCAGAAAATTGTTCGGAAGTCACCAGAAAAAAATCCGAAAATTTTCCAACCGGAATACTGCCACCCTGTTCCGGTGAATTTTCCTGCAAGATTCTGCGGGATCCGGTGACCGGAATCTTCGACCTGGGGAAATATCTTCTGTCTCTCGTATCTCCATATCTCATAAATCTCTTGTACTGATACTTAATTCCATTTCTGAAAATAGTCGAAAACAAAACATTGTACATTTCCTTCATTCATAGTTTATTGATAGAGAAATTTCATGAAGAATCTTTTGATAACAAAATTAATACGACTTCTGAAAGGTCCAGATCTATTTTTTTTTCTCAATTTGTGTAAGAGTGGCGACTGATGTGTATTTTCCCATAGTAAGACATTTCAAACTGAAATCTATGCAAATCGATTACCCATCTTCGGGCGATTTTCTCATAAAAATTTCAGCTCGAATGATGAAGTTATGACATAAATATTGTTTCCATTGAGCATGAAAATTATAGAGTTCTAGTGTGATTATCATTTATTATCTTCTTAATAACTCGAAAATGGAAAAAAGAACAACATGAGTTTTTGATTGTTTTTTGAAAGTTTGTAGAATGAACTACAAAACTATCAGATATTTTTCGATTTTTTTTTAGAAATGATCTTTATTAAATAAGATGATTGGAACTTTGTATCAACACTATTTTCCCATTAGTCTGTAGATGATTTTGAGTTAAAAAAATTAACATATTTGAAATCAAGATAAATAAATAAATTGACTTATATATTTTTTGTTCCTTGAAAAAATTTCACTGTGAATTCTTTCAGGATCGAGTCAAAACATTATTTTAATTTTGTTTGTCTCGTACTGATGTTTTATAGACTCCGAATTTGTTTTTCATTAATCAATTAACTTTTACTAATTAGATTCATTGTTTTTGACTGTACCTCTCTAAGAGACCTAAACTGAAAGTTTTCTAATCAAAATTTGCTAAAAAAAAAACAAAACACAATTTATCTTTCTAAAAAAAAAAAGTAAATAGTATTTAATTTTATTGCACTTTCCTACAAGCTTTCCAGAATTATTCAAAAACGCAATATTGTTCTTTTTTTGTAGATATTAAAATAATAGTGAAACAGAAATAGCAATATAACTATATGATTTTCATGCTCAGTTGAAATAAATATTCACATCATTACTTCAATCATTCAAGCTGAAATTTTCACTAAAGAAAAATTATAGAATACATAGTCTATTGATGAGTGAATGTATTATCCAAATTCGAAGATAAATTAAACATTTATGAAACGAAACTATCGCGTGATAAATATTTAACTGTAAACAAAACGATAGTAGTAATATAAGTGCACTTTTTACTTTAAATAGAACAATAAATGAAGGCAAAGAGTACTTATTATATATATATATAAATGTTAGAATCAAGTAATCATGAAAGGAAATATGCGTAAAGAGTTCTAGATTTTCTTTTTTTTTTGAATGAATTATTCTTGAAGAAAGAATCATATGAATAAATTGTTATTTGATAACTGAATATTATTTAATACAAAAAAAGAAGAAGATTTTTTTTTTCCGTGTTTAGTAAATCATTATTCATTTCTATCAAATAAATATTTACATATTTGACATGAAAAAGAGTTTAGTTATAAACAATTTTCTATGATTTATTAATAAAATTATTTCCTATTACACTCATATGTCATTTGACAAATAAAAAAACATATCAAAAGTATAGAAATTCTCGAGGTAGTTTACATTAAAAAAAAGCTCTTGAGATAAATTATGCTAAATAAATATATAAAATAATTTAATGTGCTTATTTAAATATTTCATCCTATGTAGAAATATTATCATGCAAAAAAAAAAAAACTAATAAAAATTTAAATTTACATATTAGAAACTAAGTTAGTTGAAATAATATTCAATATTCTTTATCTTATAAATTTCGATACCTTCTATTAAGTAGTTCTTAGATTTCTATTAAATGATAAGTGATTGTCAAGTATCTTATACAAATATATTAAACAATTTCTGTAAGTCATTTATAAATCTTTTCTTGACCTATTGATAATATTTCGATAAGGTTTTTCATGTATATATAAAAAAAGAAAATGTAAAACTCGAATTATTCATAACAAATATTATAAACAGGCATAGAGTAAAAACGACATATTTAGCTTCCTTCTTTTTTTTCCCATTAAGTCTCTTGAAAATGCACTGTCTGTAGATATCATATAAGCACAATTCTTTGCTTTCTTTTCTTTTTTTTGTTATAGCAGTGCAATAATGTAGCAACAAATTGAAAGCTGTCGTTTATTTAATAATGAATTATTTTGTCTTTATTTTTTTGCTTTGTAATATGTTATTATACATTTTATTTAACGCTACACATCAATAAATTTATGCGCATATGAATTCGGTTAATTTAACATAGAAAAGAGTTTTTTTTGCTCTGTTTTATATATTCAAGTGCATATATTATAAAGAGCATTGGTAGTCTTCAGAAAAACCTATAAAAAAAAATATGTAATTTTTTATTCTTCTTCAATATTTATATTATCGAGGTATTTGCGATGTTAGAATTAAGATGGAAAACATGCAATTCCAGTAATCTAATACGTCTTTCAGTAAAAAAAGAAGTGACCTATATTTTCCTTTCTTCTTTCCTTCTTATTTGCACTCGTTCAACTACTAGGGTTGTGCAAATAAGCATGCAAAAACGCATTAATAGTATTTGCCACTTCTCTCTAATAGTAAAACCATTTATAGCATGCATTAGAAAATGGGCGAATAGGAGATTTTTATCTTTCCTTTTTTCTTATTCTTTGACGTTCTCATAAAAAACTTCTCATTACATATCCTACATCTAGGAATAGAGATTTCTCTTATAAAGACACTTATACATTCAAGTAAGGATTAGGGTGACGACAGAGTTATAAAAGAAGAACGAGAGAAAAAGAAAAATAAAATGTTGGTCGTCATGGAGATTAGATGCAGTGTCGTGGAAAGAAAAAAAAAAGAGAAGAGTAAGCCGTACTCATTCTTATTCGACAATTGAGCGAAGCTTCGGGCAAAGGTCACATTTTGCACTGTGTCGCATTTTTCTATTTTTATATTCTTTCTCTTTTTGATATATATATATATGTGTTTTTTCTTTTTCTTTTTTATATCAAGAAAATATTAATTTCTAAAAATTATCCAATCATTATAAAGAATATGATAAAAAAAAAAATAGGAAAAACATATTTATATATTCATTAATTCTCTATTTATTCTACTGAAACCTTGAAATATATTGTGAATTCACTAATGCATTCATTGGAGTAATAGTAAAAACGAGTTCAGTGCATTTGTTCTTTTTTTCTTCTTTTTTTTTACTTTCTTTCTCTTTTTTGTTTGCTATTTGCATTTTATCATTATCATGCAAAGGTAAGCAAATGTAAATCACTGTAAAAAACAATACACACATTTACAAAAAAAGAATTTCTAGAAAACTGTGTCATAATACTTTTTATTTGATTTGTAAAGAGAAAAAAAAAACAAAATTCAAATATAATTATTGATCGTAATTAAATA